TTTCTTTTTTTGCAGTCAGGCTGGTCTCAAAGTCTCAATAATCCTCCTGCCTCAGCCTCCCAAGTGTGGGGGTTACAGGCGTGTGCCACCACGCCAGGCTCTTATTTGTTATTTGAATATCGGTGTCCAAGGCTACTTTCGCTCAGGTTTTGTTTGTTGTTTGGTGCCTGCTACCGCAGCAGTTTCTGGGATTGCAGGTAAGTGGTTTCTGTGTTTGGTGTCAGGCTTCAGCTCACAGCTCCAGATTACTTGCTCCACTAAACCCATTTGTACACAGAAAGGATTAGCGGGTTTATGGTCTCACTCGGGCTCCTCTCAAATGCTTTGCTTTCGGCTTAGGCTTCCATGTTGGGGTGCAGGTGGGCACACCCTCCCGACTGCCCACAGCGATGCCTGGCTCCTGAGCGGCTGCCACAGGATGTGACTGTGGGGTTTGGCGCACGGACTCAGGCTCCAGTTCATGCACAGGTTTGCTGTGTGCTTGGGCTCTGCCTGGTGTCACGCTGGTACAGGACAGGAAGAAGTTTAGCCTTTGGAATTCCACCTTTTGGGAGCTTACAGTACAACTCCAGGCGAACGTGGACACAGGTGGTACTGATGACATGAAATGCATTGTACAAAGGACTAGTATGATGCTGTTTGTTGAGGCAGAGTCTGTGTAGCACAGGCTGGCCTCAGACTCGTGGTGATCCTCCTGCCTCAGCCTCCAGGGTTCTGGGGTTACAGGCACGCACCACCACATAGCCAGATCTTTGTAGCTTTTAGTAACACAACACACCCTCCAGTCTACTACTATGCCCCCCCCCCCGCATCCCTGCCATTTGATACTCTGCAGATAAGCGTGGTATCATGGGGAAGAAAGTGTGACAGAAGTATGGTGCACCCCATGTAGACCCCAGGGGCACCAGAGTGTGACTCAACGCTGAGGGGCCTCTGTGCGTCCCCAGGTCACACTGTCCCTGAGCTCTGCCCACGGGGGACCCTCCCCCTGCTTGCAAATGGGCTCCTTCGCTTGTGTTCCTGCTTGCCATTGTCAATGACCACTAGGTAACGGGCTTTCATTTTAAACTGGTAGCAGGCACAGAACCAGATGAAGAAAGGGAAAGATTGCTGCTAGGAGGTGGGAACGTTTAGATTTCATTATTATAGTAGAAGATGCTTTGCGCGAATCCCCTCAACCCCCCTCCCCCGCTTCTGGCGCCCCCATCCTATCAACCTCAGGACATTCTGCCACAGCTCTGGGGTCCCCTTCCTTAAGCGTCTTTACAGGTGTGACGTGAGCGCTGCTGTTGCAGCCATCCACGCAGACAGTGCATGAGAAGGGGACGCTGTCCTTCTCACCTTATTCCCTGGTACTGGCCCTGCGTCTCCTGGCTCTTCCTCAAAGTCAAAACGACCATGCAAAACAATGCATCTCCAACACAGGATATCGAGGCAGCTAGGATGGTGCAACTGAAGACACTCAGGAGGGAGGACTCCAGAGCGAGGGCCGCAGGACTGA